CTATACTGTGACAGCACATTCCTCCTTTCCACCCCGGATTTCCCGTGTCCATTCAACCAGCTCCTGACCCTCTCCGCCTTCCCATCTTGCCTCTGCACAGGAGCTGCCCATTTAGTCTCATGCACCTTCTTGAGCTAAGCAGCACACACTTCACGAGTATCATTCTATGTCCCACAGTCCAGTCTAATCTTTGTCGGAAGAGTTAGCCTGGGGAATGGTTTTAGTTTTGGGCTAACAGAGAGTCCAGGCGCCATGTCTTCTGGGGTCTCTCCAGTCTCAATCAAACCATTAAGTCTGGTCTTTTTACTAGAATTTGAGTTCTGCATCCCACTTTTCTCCTGCTCCGTCAGGGACTCTCTGTTGTGTTCCCTGTCAGGGCGGTCATTGGTGGTAGCTGGGCACCATCTAGTTCTTCTGGTCTCAGGATAATGAAGTCTCTGGTTTATGTCACATTGTGGGAATTGCAACTAATGTCACAAAACAATATGTGTATAAATTTTTGTATGAGAAATTAACTTGAGCTTGTAAACTTTCACCTAAAGCACAATAAAATATATATGTATATGAATAGACAGTTGGGCTAATACTTTCATTATGTCTTTGGTGTTCTTCATTCTCCTTTGCTCCAGGTGGGTTGGGACCAACTAACACATCTTAGATGGCTGCTCGCTAGCTTTTAAGACCCCAGACACCACTCACCAAAGTGGGATGCAGAACATTTTAATACACTTTGTTATGCCAATTGACCTAGATGTCCCTGAAACCATGGTCCCCAGATCCCTGTCCCTATCCCTTGAAGTGTTTGCTTATATTCAGTAAACTTCTTAGCTTTGGTTTAGTCCAGTCGTGCTGCCAAGTCTGTAAATCTTTATGGAAGCACACTGTCACATCTTTCTCCTGCGGAACAGCTGGTGGGTTCAAACCACTGACTATTTTGGTTAGCAGCTGAACACTTAACCACTGCACCACCAGGGCTCCTTCTGTAGAGATTACAGCCTTGGAAATCCTACGGGGAAGTTCTACTCTGTCTTATAGGGTCAGTATGAGTTGGAATCAACTCAACAGTCATGGGTTTGGTTTTTTGGTTTGGAGATGGCCCCAATGACCTCAGGTCAATTTTGTCCCCATGTCCGTGCTGGGAAGAGGCAGGGCCTTTGGATCTAGACAGATGGGCATGGGATGGGGTGGCCGCTGGCCCTCCTGCCTGGGCTTATCCTTCCACCTGAGTGGACTTACCTCTGGGGAGAACAGGGACAGCATCGGTCCTGTTCACCCCTGGGCCAGGAGGGGTCCGTCCACCCGGGCTGAGCACTAGGATGTGCTGGGATCTTTATAAAATGCAGGTGCCCAGGCTGGGCCCCAGGGTGTTCTGATGCACAGTCTGGCCTGAGAACCACCAGCTGGAGAACTCAGTCCCCAAAAGAGCTCTCGAGGCCTTCTCAACAGGCTCCAAACTACCTTCCTGTCGCCCCCCCCAACTCCTTTCCATCCCACCCCACTCCTTCCCCTTGCCCCCCACTCAACCTTTCTCTTTGTAGGCTGTGCTCTGGCCAAGTTAAACTGGATACTGTCATCTAGAGAAAAAATACTTTCGGCCTCTGTGCCCTCTGCCTGGCACAAGCACCAACTCCTCTTGAAAGAATTCTCCCAACACCCGCTGGTAGGATGAATCGCTTCCTCCTGGACCCAGTGCTGTTGGGATGGACCTGTTACAACCCACTGCATGTCAGGCCACAGTCAGTTCCTGCCTTGTCTCCCGGCGAGGACATGAGCAGCTTACTGTCTGAGCTACTGCAGGCATTTGCAACAACTGGCTCTGAGCCTGACACATGACATTCAATACCTGCTGGCTGAGTAAAGGAAACATATGAACAACTACCTGTCTTTTTGATCATTATAAATATAGAACTGATGCTTATAAATATTGAAAAAGAAATCAAACCAGTTGCCTTTGAGTTAATTCTGACTCATGGTGACCCCATGTATGTTAGAGTAGAACCACGTTCTATAGGGTTTTTAATGGCTGATTTTTCGGAAGTAGATTGCTAGGCCTTTCTTCTGAGGTACCTCTGAGTGGATTCAAACCACCAAGCTTTCAGTTAGTAGCCAAGCACTTAACTGTTTGCTCCATCCACGGACTCCTTTATAAATACAGCATTGTGAAAAAAAAGCCAAAAAACTGGTGTTAGGACAACTGAGTAACATTCTGGAAAAAATACAGTTAGATTTCTAGTTCACATCTTCCACCAAGACATGGTGCAGATTTAGCAAAGATTCAAGTAAAAACAAACAAACAAAGAAAAAAAAAAATAGAGGAAAACATGAACTTTTAAAATAATCTCATTATGGAAAATAAATCTAAATCATTCAAAAGTCAGAAGTGTCTCCATGTTTAAAATCATTTGGTTTCCTTTTCTGTGAACTGTCTATTCATATACATATGTATTTTATTGTGCCTTAGGTGAAAGTTTACAAGCTCAAGTTAATTTCTCATACAAAAATTTATACACATATTGTTTTGTGACATTAGTTGCAATTCCCACAATGTGACAGCACACTCCCCCTTTCCACCCTGGGTTCCCTGTGTCCATTCAACCAGTTCCTGTCTCTTTCAGGGTTCTCATCCTACCTCTGGACAGGAGCCACCCATTTGGTCTCATGTATCCAACTGAACTAAGTACTACACTCCTCACACGTATTATTTTTTGTTTTATAGTTCTGTCTAATCTTTGTCTGAAGAGTGAGCTTCGTGAATGGTTTCAGTTCTGGATTAAGAGAGCGTCCAGGGGCCATAGTTTCGAGGTTCCTCCAGTCTCTGTCAGACCAGTATGTCTGGTCTTTTTACGTGTGTCTATTCATATTTTTAACCCATTTTTTCCAATTAGATTATTGTTTCTCTTACTGCTTTTTAGTAGCCTTTACTTTTTTCATTGTTGTACTTTAAGTGAAAGTTTACAATTCAAGTTAGTCTCTCAAACAAAACTTTATACGTATGTTGTTATGTGACCCTAATTGCTCTCCCTATACTGTGATAGGACATTCCTCCTTTCCACCCCTGATTTCCTGTGTCCATTCAACCAGCTCCTGACCCTCTCTGCCTTCTCATCTCACCTCCAGACAGGAGCTGCCCAGTTAGTCTCATGTATCTACTTGAGCTAAGAAGCACACTCTAAAATTTTTAGTAGTCTTAATGCAATGAGGAAATTATTCCTTTGTAATGTGAAATGGAAGTCCCTGGGTGGCGCAAATGGTTAAGCACTCAACTACTAACTGAAAGGTTAGGAGTTCAAGTCTACCCACAGGTGCCTTTGAAGAAAGGCCTGGTGATATAATCCCCAAAAATCAGCCACTGAAAACACTATGGAGATCAGTTCTACTCTGACAAACATGGGGTCGCCACGAGTCAGAGTTGATTTGATGATAACAGGCTTATATAATGAGAAAATAAGCCCTTTGTAATATGAAATGGTGCTCGACAACACTCCTAAGACAAAGGCAAATTACAGCTAAAATGAGTTTGTACTTATTACACTAGCAAAGATCCAAAGTCTGAGCACACAGAGTGGATAAGAGTGGGAAACGGCAAATGCAGGCAGACCTGGTGCCAGTAAACTGGTACAACCTTGACCTGGAGCAACTACAAATGCACACTCCTGGCCATTCCACTTTCAGGAATGAATCCAATCATTCCTCAATTATTCAGTGAGCACCTATGACAAGCCTGGCACAGCCCAGGTGCAGGTAGCCCAGCCCTGGGTGCTACCCTGTGCTTGTCTTCAAGAACTCATACTGAAGCCGTGGGGGCAGCTGGTCAACATACACTAGGTGGGTCCACGTCAGCAGTGGGCAGACGGTGCAGGCAGGAGTGGCCCTTGTGGCAGCTGGGGAAAAGTGTCCAGGCAGAAAGACCAGGGGAGGTGAGGGCGTGTCTGAGAGACAGTGAGGCGACCAGTGGGGCCAAGTGAGGAAACAAGCCAGGGAGGGAATAGACATAGGATACAGGGCCTCACGGACTACGGAAAGGACTGTGGGTTGCTCTGTGAAGGCTAGGAGGCAGTGGAGGGTTTGCACAGGAGCAGGATGATCTGGCTGTCACACAGAAGGGACCCAAGCAAAGGGAGTGGTTGGGCCCTGGATGGCAGCAGCAGAGGTGATGGGGAGAACTCAGAGTCTGGGCAGCTTCTGAAGGCAAAGTCGACAGGATGGCGATGGGCTGGATGTGGGATATGGAAAAGCATGTTAAGAATGACTTTAACCCATTAGAATGGCTATCATTAAAAAAAAAGAAAAACAATAGGTGTTAGTGGGCACGTGGAGAAACTGGAACCCTTGTGCGTTGTTGGTGGGAATGTAAACTAATGCAACTGCTATGGAAAACAGTTTGGTGGTTCCTTGAAAAGTTAAATATAGAATTGCTATATGACGCAGCAATTCTACTCCTAAGTATATACCCAAGAGACTCGAAAGCAGTGATGCAGGTATGTGTACACCAATGTTCATCACAGCACTGTTCACAACAGCCAAAAGGTGGAAACAATCCATGTGACCGTCCACAGATGAAAGGATGAACAAAAGGTGGCATATACATACAATGGAATATTACTCAGCCATAAAGAGACATGAAGTTCTGATACATGGTATGACATGGATGAACCCTGCAAACGTTATGTTGAGTGAAATAAGTCAGACACAAAAGGTCAAATATTATATGCTCCCACTTACGTAAAGTATCTAGGATAGGCAAATGCA